GTTCACAGGATACGCCTTATCACCGACGCAGGGATCAGGCCACCGGGCAAGGATCCTCAAAAGCCGGAGGATGTGTGCTGCATTGCTTGGAAGTCTGATCCCGCGCTGGAGAGTCAGACAGGTCCCATCTGGGGTGCCAAATTTGTCGGGGACTCGAACCCTGATGGCTTCGGTTTGTTGTCTGACCGCAAAGAGACAGGCAACACCAGCAAGGTCCAATCACAAAGCTCTTTATTGAAGAGTGTACACGACAATAGAGAGCGACCCGTCTTCACTGAGAACCAGCCACGATTTCAATAACAAGTAGGTTTATATAGACAGTTCCGTCGCGTCATAGACTATTCACCCAAGCAACCCACCCCCCTCTTATCAGTCAGAAACTTTTAGTATTCATGCATTTCTAGCCAACTATACACTGTGGCCTTAAGCAATTCATAATGCCTCGGCAACTTTCTTATCAGCACAGGAGACAAGCACCAGAAAACCGGGAGACAGGGAGTTAAGAACAGGCAGAGAACAGAAACAGGGAGTTTAGGGAGTTTTCTTATCAGTTCTCCAAACAAGCCGTTCCCCCAGCACAGCAGGTACAAGAATGCAGCTTTCCACTGATCGCACCTTTTGCAGCTTAAGCAAGTATCTAAAATACACCCCTGCTAGAGTCATGTCTCCAGTTCTGCTCAGGGCCTACCCAGAAACCTTTGTTAGCCTCTTTTCGGTCTGTTTTAGCATAACCGCTCTAGGCCCAATTTTCTGAGGCCTCACATGAACAACTGTGTCCTTCTTCCCATGTGCGGCATGATTGTGTAGTGTTACTAGATGTGCCCAATATGCTGGGGTAGGTTCATTGATTAGGGTTATTCTTATGGGGTTGGGGGGAAAGTTAACAATTCTATCCGTGTGCGGCTTGTGCTTACTGGTGCTCTCATATGGAGCTGAATTCTTCCTGCTGCCAATTCCCCCTCCCATTGGAGCTCTCCTGCAGGGGGTAGGTTCTCAGGACGGGGTGCTTCCCACCTTAGCAAGAGACACAGACACGCACCCCCACTAACAGCACGCCTGAGAGGACTGGGTCATCAGCACTCACACGCTGACCCCTCATATGTCCCTGGACTCAGCAGGCTGCTTTCACAGCGATGCCAAACTGCACCCTCCTGTGCCTTTGGACTCAGAGGGCTGGATTAAACAGCACTTTAACCTGCCATCCTCATATGCCCCCAGGTCCAGCACTTCCCTATCTCCACTTTCACACCACAGTCATTCGCTGGTAAACCACACTATGATCAAACCCCACAGGATATTTGGGGCCCTTTAGCTTGGGTACAAGAAGCGTTGTTGCAGAGCGAATGGGGAAGCCCAAACAACACCCCTGAGGGAGAATGATCAAAGACAAAGAAAAAGTGAGAGACGCATCCTGCTTACAACGAAAGTGCATTGGAGGATAGGATTAAAATTCAAAATGACCTTTACAAACCGGAGAAGTGGCCTGAGGTTAATAGGATGAGGTCCAATGAGGACAAATGCAAAGTGCTCCACTTAGGAGGAACAACCCGTTTCACACACACAGCATGAGAAGCGACTGTCTAGGCGGGGTACTGCAGAAAGCGATCTAGGGTCATAGTGGACTATAAGCTAAATATGAGTCAAGTGTGACACTGTTGCAAAAAAAACCCAACAAAACACATCATTGTGGGATGCATTAACAGGAATGTCATGAGCCAGGCATGAGAAGTCATTCTGCTGCTCTACTATAAGCTGATGAGGCCCCAGTTAGAGTATAGTGTCTATTTCTGGGCACCACATTTCAGAAAAGATGTGGAGAAATTGGAGAAGGTCGCGAGAAGAGCAACAAGAATGATGAAAGGCGAAGAAAACATGAGCTGTGAGGGGAGATTGAAAGAATTGGGCTTGTTTAGTTTAGAAAAGAGAAGGAGAGGGGACATGATTGTAGTTTTCAAGTACCTAAAAGGGTGTTACAGGGAGGAGGGAGAAAAATTGTGTTCCTTGGCCTCTGAGGACAGGACAAGAAGCAATGGGCTTAAACTGCAGCAAGGGAGGTTGAGGTTGGACATTAGGTAAAACTTCCTAACTGTCAGGGTGGTGAAACACTGGAATAAGTTGCCTCAGGGGGTTGTGGAATCTCTCTCCCTGGAGATATTTAAGAGCAGGTTGGACAGGCATCTAGCAGGGATGCTCTAGATCAGGGATCAGCAGCCTTTCCGAAGTGGCGGAAGATTTAACGTATTCACTTCTGTTTACGGGTCAGCCTGCTGGTGATACTTTTTAAAGTCCGTAATCGTCCTGCCTGCAGCAGCTTCGTTCACAAATAAAGTAAGATGAAGATCTAACCGTTCAGGGTGCTCCTTGGCCTGGCTGGGTTCTCCGATCTTGGGCTCGTAGTTTGATGCTTTAAGCAGCACACAACTGAGTCAGGGCTTGGTAACCTACAGCAGGACACAGTGGCCACGGGCCCATCCCCATCCCCAGCCTGCCTGCCCGCAGCTCCAATCCTAGGCGGCAGCAACCAGCCTGACCACAGCTTCAACACCCTCCCCAACCCTGGCAACAACCCGCCCGGCTGAAGCTTCAACCCCCTGGCAGCAACCCGTTAGTTTGCGGCCCGTGGTGCGGTTTGGGTTTACGGTGTGGTTTGGGCTGATATGTGCTTTAGCAGTTAAATACCTGGACTGTTGTGAAGCCAAAACAAAAAAGTCGTCACTATAATGGTCTCCTGTTGATATGCCTTTTGGAAGTTCAATTCCTGGACTATCATTGCTCATTCAAAGTGCTGTCCTATGGGTGGAAATCAGGTAATTGTTGCATTTTATTAATATCAGCAGAACTGACTTGAATGGGGCCTGCGTGTTGTGTAGTCTTGCCTTGATCTCTGTAGTCTTGCCTTAATGTGTCTTCATGCCTGTCCGTGTGAAAGAAGCTATTTGCATATATTTGCATGTATATGCAACCACACTTCAGTTGTGGCCCTCGGTATGTGCTGGGAGTATCATTGTGGCCCCCCGGGCTTCCAAAGTTGAGTAGCCTTGGTCTAGGTTTACTACGTCCACCGCTCCATCTTGCCCCTACTCACTTGCACTGCTCCCTTTGAAACATCACCTGTGCTCTTGGGCCCAGTTTGAAGGCCCCCGCCCACCAGGGCTGACCGCACCCTGTTTAGGGTGTTGGCCAAGAGGTGTGCATTGCCAAAGGTCAGTGGGAACACGGCCGCTATGTTACAAGAGCTGTATTTGACTGTAATGATTCAGGGCTAGACGTGAATTAATAACCGTGCTTCTGTGTATTGTTCCTTGTGCTTCTGCAGACAAAAGCTGGGGCAGACAGGAGAGTGCAGAGCGCGTGCAAAAGACCCATCAGCAGAGGATAAAAGTCAGGGGGGAGAAGAGGCTGAAGTCCTTCAACACACTTCTACAGATGTGTGCTCGTCTCTCTTCCCCTCGGCCGCTGATGCAGAACTATTTTCCATGCCCTCCCCAAACTCTTTCCGCAGGTTCCTTCCAACTTTCCAGAGCATCTTGGCAACCCAGTCGCTCCCCCCTTTCAGACAGCTTCCAAAACGCTAGCTGCACTGACACACCCCATGACAGCCGCCACCGTCCTGTACCACTACCTCCGTTCACCCCGCCTTTTGTGTGTCCTCACTGCTGTTTAATAACGACAAGCGCTCCGAAAGATAACCAGTCTTTACTTTGTGTCCTCCCTGAAGCGATTGAAGCTGGTAGCAAAACAGATCAATGCAGGTAATCATTTGCTTACCCGAAATCCCACTCCAGGTGCACCACTGGTGTTAGGCAAAATAAGAAAACTCAAATAATGAATCACAGCAGGTAGCTGAAAAGAAATACACATTACTGGGGCTCATTATTAAAATGCTCTCTCAAAGCCTCCCTGATTCAAATCACCCTCCACGGTACCCCTATAAAAGCCCTGGTATCAGGCTGCTCAAAATCATATAACCATAGAGCTGGAAGAGACCTCAGGAGTCATCAAGTCCAGCCCCCTGCCCAAGGCAGGACCAATCCCAACTAAATCAACCCGGCCAGGGCTTCATCAAGCCAGGACTTAAAAACCTCTAGGGATGGAGATTCCACCACCTCCCTAGGGAACCCATTCCAGTGCTTCCCCACCCTCCTAGGGAAATAGTTTTTCCAAATATCCAACCTGGACCTCTCCCACCACAACTTGAGACCATTGCTCCTTGTTCTGCCATCTGTCACTACTGAGAACAGCCTCTCTCCATCCTCTTTGGAACCTCCCTTCAGGAAGTTGCAGGCTGCTCTCAAATCCCCCCTCACTCTTCTCTTCTGCAGACTAAACAAACCCAGTTCCCTCAGTCTCTCCTCATAAGTCTCATGCTCCAGCCCCCTAATCATTTTGGTCGCCCTCCGCTGGACCCTCTCCAATGCGTCCACATCCTTTTTGTAGGGGGGGCCCAGAACTGGACACAATACTCCAGATGTGGCCTCACCAGAGCCGAATAAAGGGGAATAATCACTTCCCTAGAGCTGCTGGCGATGCTCCTCCTAATGCACCCTAAAATGCCGTTAGCCTTCTTGGCTACAAGGGCACACGTCAGTCAGGCTCCTGTCTCTCCGTGCCTCCCCCAGGCACATTTCGCCACCCTCAGCATCACAAAGATCATGGGGTGTGCAGCAGGCAGCTATCCCCATGGGAATGTTTTCCTCACTTGGATCCAACCTGCCACGAAGGCGTCACTAGGGAGCTTTTAATCTGCCAAAGGCACTTTCCAAGGTCAGGCTGCACCTGCTCAGCCTTCTGTAGAAGGGCTCCTTGCTGCTTTCCAGATTTCCTGTGTTAGGTTTCACGAGCCGAGGGGAGTAAATGGTATGCAGGATCTCCCGGAATCACAGTGGGCATTTCAACATCCCCAACCAGAGTCTTCTAGTCTGGAAAGACAGAATCTGCTTGCAGCTTTCTCCTGCCAGCAGTGTTCCTGAAGACATACCCTCCCGAACCACCCCGCATCGATGTCGGTGAAACACCCACGGCGATCCACAAGCGCCTGCAATGCCATGACGAAGTACCCCAGGTGGCCGAGAGCCTCTATCGCCCCGGAACAGTCAGCGAATCCTGTTCCCGCAGAACCCATCCAATATTTCACACACACTGCCAAGAGTTACGGTCCTCGTAGGAAGATGAGACGAACGGCTCTGCACGCTGGTGTGAATGCGGCCCTCCTTCTAAACTGACTGAAAGGAGTCTGGAATCGCCAGCTTCCACACTACGACCACCAGCAGCTTTTCCGGCGAGAGATCAGCTCTTATCTTCATGTTGCTGCACCACGGGGTCAAGCTGAGCACCACACACAGTTCCAGGAAGGCAGCTTCCTGCAGCTGAAAGTTCTGCCGCCACAGCTGGTCACAGGCGGCGGGTAACTGCAGATGACGGGGGTGAGGAGGGGGAAGGGAATTACTGCCACAGTCAGCTTCCCGGTGTCTGCGGAGGCTCCTTCCAGCAACACCCTCATGTCCCCAGTGTAACCTTGGGTGGGCGAGACTTCACTGCCCTTCTCCAGTGCCTAAAAAAACCGCCCACTCCCACGGCCATACAGTACTGGAGACCCAGCGTTCAGTCTGGAAGGAGTTTCAGCAAAGATTGCTTGGTGTCAGCCTCCCTACATTCAAGTTCCAAAAGAAACTAAAGAAATGGATTTAATTAAATAACTGGATAACATCTTACGAAGAAACAAATCATCTAATTCTTACAACAGAGCCCAGCTATGTCATCCCCCAGAGATAACGTCCATTGTTACTGGATAATTAAGTCAAAAGAAAAGTAAAAGTAAAAGTTGAACAGTTCAGTTCACACACACACAGAAAGAAGAGACGGAGAGGCCCCGAAAGCTCAGATTTAGTTCACCAAAGCCTCAGCTTGTGCCTCTGACCGTCAAATCTGCCCCACATGCTGAGTCTGAACGTCTCTCCACGTGCTTGTAGGGAATCCTCAGTTGAAGTCCAGGCAGCCTCTTCCTCTGCTGTGGATTGGGTTGCCAGATGGTTTAACAAAAAATACTAACACCCCCACCCCCGGCCAAAAAACAGGAAAAAAGGGAGAGACCAAAGTTGAGCAAAAAAAAAAAAAGAAAAGGGGAGGGGCGCTGCGCCTTATTGAGCAAACAAAAAAAATTGCCTGCCCCTTTAATATTGACATTACCACCCTAGTTCGAACTAGGTTGGTAGTATAGACATACCCTGACCCAGTGTAGCAGGTTGTTTGGGCCCATAGCACACTAAGACTATGTCTAGACTACAAGCCTCTTTCGAAAGAGAGCGTCTAGACTACCGCGGCGCGTCTAGACTGCCCCGCTCCCCCCGCTCCCTGTGCCCCTCTGGCTCTGCGCTGCCCGTTCCCCACGCCGCCCCTGCACTCCGCTCCCCTGCACCCTGGTCCTCCTGCTCTCCCTGTTCCCTGCGACTCTCTGGCTCTGTGCCACCCTTGCTCCCCGCTCCCCCCGATCCCTGTGCCCCTCTGGCTCTGCACTGCCTGTTCCCCGTGCCACCCCTGCACCCTGGTCCCTGCGTCCCTCTGGCTCTGTGCCCCTCTGCACCCTGCAGCCCATTTTCACTGCACCCCTCTGGGTCTGTGCTCCCCATTTCCTGGTCTGCCCTGGACCCCGATCCCTCTGCCCCTCCCATTCCCCGCGTCCCATTCCCCGTGCCTGCACTCCGCTCCCCTGCCCCCTGGTCCTCCTGCTCTCCCTGTTCCCTGCGACTCTCTGGCTCTGTGCCACCCTTGCTCCCCGCTCCCCCCGATCCCTGTGCCCCTCTGGCTCTGCACTGCCTGTTCCCCGTGCCACCCCTGCACCCTGGTCCCTGCGTCCCTCTGGCTCTGTGCCCCTCTGCACCCTGCAGCCCATTTTCACTGCACCCCTCTGGGTCTGTGCTCCCCATTTCCTGGTCTGCCCTGGACCCCGATCCCTCTGCCCCTCCCATTCCCCGCGTCCCATTCCCCGTGCCTCCCCTGCACCCCGCACCCTGCTCCCCCCACTCCCTGTGTCCCTTTGGCTCTGTGCCCCTCTGCACCCTGCAGCCCATTTTCACTGCACCCCTCTGGGTCTGTGCTCCCCATTTCCTGGTCTGCCCTGGACCCCGATCCCTCTGCCCCTCCCATTCCCCGCGTCCCATTCCCTGTGCCTCCCCTGCACCCTGCACCCTGCTCCCTCCACTCCCCGCGCCCCTTTGGCTCTGTGCCTCCCATTCCCCACGGTGAACCCTGCTCCCCCTGTTCCCTACGCCGCTCTGGCTCTGCGCTGTCCCTGCACCCTGTTCCCCCTGTGGGTCGTGAGTGAGGGGTGCTTGTCCATAGGGAGTGGCTGGACAGGGCAGGTAAAACGCTGTTGTGACCCAGCAGCAAGCAAAAGGGGCGGGGGAGTTTACTTGAAGTGCCTTTGCCTTTCTGTTCCTCCGTTAGTCACTATTCATCTTCTCTGAAAGTCTACAGAATTGTGTGGTGTGAGTGGAGGATGTCTACACGGCACCAAATCTTGCTCTAAAACGCTATTCCGACACATCCCATAATCCTCGTGGCACGAGGGTTACAGGGACGTCGGAATAGCGAGCCTATTATTGCAAAATCAATTTTGAAGTAACGGGCTACTTCCAAAGATGTGGAATAGCTATTTTGGGATCGCGCCCCCGAAATCACACCGCCGTCTAGACGTACCCTGAGGGTATGTCTGCCCAGCGGTGTTATTTCAAAATAACACAGAGCACATCTACAGAGCAAGCCCATTATTTCAAAATAAAATTTGAAATAACGGGCTTCGTACGCCGACTCCTGCAACCCTTGCTGTGCGAGGGGAAAGGGAAGTTGCGGGGAAGAAGGTTTGGTTTCAAAATCACAGCTATGCAGGCAGCGCCAAAAGTCAAAGTAAGCAATTTCGACTTCTGCTATGCAATTAGCGAAGCTTAAGTTGCGTCGCTTATTTCGAGGTTAGCCCTGCTGCGTAGACGCGCTCGGAGGGGTCCCAGGGTTGTTTCAATTGCCGGACAAAGATCTATTCTGGTTGTAGTGGACATAATGACCCAAGTGGTTTCAACAGTAGGCTCACAAGTGAGAGACTGGCGGTGGAGAACCTAGTAGGAAAAGTAGCCACCAGCCTCCCGACGTAGATCCGGCGCATCTCGGAAGCTACTTTCCGAAGTCCATCAAGCCGACTGCAGTAATTTTAAGTCCACGGCCAAGGACTGCGTGTGAGAAAGCCAGCGGGTTTTCCTGGGCTGGACTGATCTGAACTGGTCATGGGCGCTGGGTGGACCCCTGGCTGGAGGAGACTGGCCCCTCAACCTGCCCCTTTGGGGAAAAGGCAGCAGAGAATTCCATGGGGAGAATGTTGCGTGGGGAGCAGAGAATCAAGCAGTGTCAGAGCAGGCAAGACGCTACGGGGTGCTGGGCTGCAGGGGGCTCGGTAGGGGGCGCTGCTTCTCATCAGCGCAGCACTAGGGGGCGCTGTCTGGTCCAGCTTGACCATCATTTCCAGTGCACCCCCCCCCCCCCCACACACACATTATACCATGGCACTAGCCGGGGCCTGGCCACCCCATCTCCAGCCAACGGGCCCATCTGGCCCGGCGTCCCGCCTGCCATGCTGGCTGCTTTGCAGGGAGTTCAGGACACACCCGTAGTGACAGAGAGACCCAGCTGCCCCCAGAGGGAGCCTCTTGCTGTCCCGTCAGAGAGGGGTCTGTGGCTGAGCGGCAGTTTTGCTCCCTGCCCAAGTCCATTAGCGGGGTGGGGGGAGAGTCACTGCCCCTGTGAGCAGCTTCCATCCCTCCCCCGGCAACCCCTGCAGGAGCTGCAGCCCCAGAGCCCCAATTTCATACATCTCCAGAGCAGGGACATCCTGGGCCTCCCCCTGGGAAAAGCCCCTGGCTCTGCAGCTCCCACAGGGGCAGGGACCCTTCGGCCCCGAATCTCCCGCAGCCGCTGCTCCCCCCCAGCCGCTGCTCCCCACAGCTGGCAAAGCCCCTCGTGAGGCTGTCCCAGCTCCCTGGGCCCGTGGCGCTCTGCGGGGCCCAGGGCTTGGGGCAGAGCCTGGCTCTGAGCATCCCCTCCTGCAGGGGAACCCCCCCCCCCAAAGCATCTGGCCCAAGGCAGGGCTGGGAGCAGGGACATGGGGGCGCACCCCTGCAGGAGCTGCAGCCCCAGAGCCCCAATTTCCTGCCTCTCCAGAGCAGGGACATCCTGGGCCTCCCCCTGGGAAAAGCCCCTGGCTCTGCAGCTCCCACAGGGGCAGGGACCCTTCCGCCCCGAATCTCCCGCAGCCGCTGGTACCCAACACTGTGCAAGAA